CTGCAAACCGATCTTTTCACTCCTGGGGGTTAGCTCGATCATTCTCATGAGTGTTTACATTCCTCCGCAAGCGCACGTGAGTTTAAACTCGCTAATCAGATCCCAGACACAGAACAACAACGCCCAGACTCTGTTATAATCATTCTTGGGGACTTTAATAGAGCAAATCTTTCCCGTGAACTGCCAAAATACAGACAGCATGTCCCACCAGAGACAGTAATATATTGGATCACTGTTATACCACAATAAAGGATGCATATTGCTCCGTCCCACGGGCAGTTTTGGGGCTCTCTGATCACTGTTTAGTTAATCTTATACCGACCTACAGGCTAGAGGATAGTCCGGACTGCTGAGCGAATCATTGGTACAACCCTCCCTTCTCTCTAAGAACTGTACTCGTCCAGAGTGAGCAAAAGGGCTAGCAAAATAACTCTGGACCCCTCACATGCAGCACACTCCCTCTTTGAACTGTTGCCATCTGGTCGACGCTACAGAGCTCTGAGCACCAGAACGACCAGACACAGGGACAGTTTCTTTCCTCAGGCAATCCATCTCATGAACACTTAACAATAAAGGTGGAACACACAACACTAGTGTAGCATTTGGACCAATAAGACACACAACTTTTTGTTATATTTAACAAATAATATCTAACGCCCCCTCACCTAACCAAAGGGCCAATTACAAGGGCAACCAATGCTGATATCACTGGTTTCATTACCCAAAGGAATGCGGACAGAGCAACTCTCCCTGCATGTCTCATAAGGAAAGACACATAATGCCCATAAAAATGGACTCTTCTCTAACTAATTCACAGGAAAACCGTTCTTTGAATGAACACCCATATACTTCAGGTCATTGTGTATGTTGTTACTGTCCTTGTATATTGTCTTTTATATTGTATACTGTTTAATGCAGGCTTATGATAGAACCACTCGTTCATGTAATCTTACCTATATGTAATCCTACCATGTTTAGTATCTATGAATTCGTCTTCTGATGATCTAAACGAGAGTGTATATTATATGTTGGTACATAGACAATATAATAGTGTTCTGAGAATCTTTAGTAATTTTGAATCGAGTCCCATATGCAAATTACCATGCTCTCACACAAAGAGTCATACAACTCCCCAGTATTTCCAAACTCCCGCTTGGAATTTCAGCCTTTCTCACTGGACAAGCTCACGTTGAGAGGCGTGAATCTTGTCAGACCTTAAAGGCCTCACATCAGTGACCCGCTTGACTTTCCATTCACCAAGATCATCTGACTCAAACTGGTTCTTTTTCATCAACCAACTTCAGCAAAGATCAACTTGAGCCTTCAGATTGCATCAGGACTCTCTGTCAGACAGACAAGACGTGAAAGTATCAAACTTAGTCTTATTAATTGATACATTAAGTATCATTGGCACCTTTTTACAAAGGTGTGTTTGAACTAAGAAACTGATGTTTCCTTAAGGCTGTAGATCTGCTGAATAT